CCCCAAAACCCCAAAACCCCAAAACCCCAAAACCCCTGGAACTTTGTCACATATTGAAAATCAATTAAGTACGTATACAGAAATTATGAACTATCCTCGTCTGTCACTTTTTGTGTTGAGATCAAGCCTTCTCCTTTTTTATCTGAAGCAGAGGGGATAGACTGACGGACTTTGGTCTTTGGGTTGAAGAAGAATACTAATACTATAAAAGTGTGAGGAAGGAGCATGTATTCGCTTACCTATGCCAACTACTGCCATTGATGCAAGGATATAGAACAAAGTTTCGTACTCTATTCTTCCTTTTGAGATCTGTTTTGTCAATATCCAATTTATTAATGTTGCCGAGGCAAATGCAGTGAAAATTAGTGCAAACATTTTACCTCCTGTTGTAGGGCCGTAAATTTTCGCACATAATGTTGCAAAAATAGAGAAATGTCCTCCAAGTGTTGAGAATGATATCAGTACCCATATTAGGTAGAGTGCTTTAATTTTATGAATAGCCACAAAAGTGAACGCCACAATAACTTCTACTACCAACAAAAACAAGAATACCTTTTTGAATCCAAAGAAATCCTGTAATGTTGACCATACCCCTCTGGAAAGACCATTAACTACTGCTCCGAGAGATCCGACCAAAGTGATAAACCTATCGTCTTGGATATCTCTTTGTTCATATGACTTAAAATTGCTAGCAATATAGAATGGGTAACTTGAAGTAAAAATAAGAATTATCCACATATAAATCGTCCTGTAGTCCTTTACTGACTCCATAAATGTGGGTTCAATGATCTCAATCTTTGATTCGTATTCTTCAGTCATGTCTAAATGGTCAGAACTCACATGATTCAATATCCCTTCTCTATTCTGAGTTGGAGAAGATACCAAGGGTGCATAATCCTTGTGACCTTTTTTCATTCTTCTCATCATAAGAGCTGCAATTAGGATTAATCCAACCCAGATTGCTCAGTTAATCCTGATCATTCTTGGTGCATTTGATGCAACAGAAGTCTCAGGACTGAAAATTTTTCCTCCATCTACCTCAAGATCAGGTTTTAGTCCTTCTGGGTTAGCAATAGCGATTGAGATAAATCCAAAGATGAAAGATCCAAAACCGAATCCAGTGACTATGACTCCACTGACTGTACCTTTCCATTCTGGGAAATATTCCCATCCTCATATTATTGGGGCCATATAAGAGAACCCTATGCCAATTCCAAATAGCACTGGATATACGAACAAAAAGGCATAAAAGTTGGTGATGAACGAAGAAGCAAAAACTCCTCCAATTGCAAACACCCCTCCAATAAGTGCTAAGAGCCAAGGAGGAACATATCTTAACAGTACTGGAGCTATGGGCATTCATAATGCTTGAGCTACCGTCTGCAGTACGAATATTATACTAGTGTCATCAAGAGTGACACTAGGATCTTGCTTGTGCAAATAAGAAGTGACATATACCTGAATATTACCCCAGAGATAGAAACATCCAAGATAAAGGTGCATAATAGTACCTCCCCCCACACAAAGTAGTCCCATCATAGTATTTGAAACCATTTTCAAAGTTCTGCTTAGTGAAATTATATAAATTACAACACAGAATGTTTTAAAAGGGGTTTTGGGGTTTTGGGGTTTTGGGGTTTTGGGGTTTTGGGG